ATAATTTAAATATATATTTAAAGTATCTTATTATTTTCAAAGCCAAGCTGTCTTATTGTTTTCTCTATATCTCACATAGAAGCAGGTCTTCTTTGATGACTGATGAAGTTTTAGCTATATTTTTTTTTTATTTGGCCTGTTTCTGTATCATTAATGCATTGTAGCTTAAAACCTACAATGTACTAATATTATTGGCTAATATAGAATAGAAGTCTTGCATACTTCAATTGTATCCTTTAAATACATTATTTTATAATTATAGTTTATCTAGAATATATATAAATTATTAATTTCAGTTTATAATAAATAATTTTCTAAAAAAAAAATAGTTATAAATTAAAAATAAAAAAATAAAAAAATAAATATTAGTAATAAATCAGTATAATTTCAGCTATTATTTAAATAAAAAAATAATAAATAAATATTAGTTATAAATTAGCTTAAATTTAGTTATTATTAATTTATTATATTTAAATAAAAAAAATAATAATAAATATTAGTTATAAATCAGTATAAATTTAGCTAACATTTAAATAATAAAAAACAAGAAAAAAAAATAAAACATAATAAATCTTAGTTAAAATTAACAAATATTTAGTAGTTATTTAAAAAAGAAATAAAAATAATAATTATAAAAATCAAATATATTCAGTTAAGTAAAAAATAAAAAAAAAATTAGCAAATAAAATATTAGTTATAAATTAATATAAATTTATTATCATTTAAACAAAAAAATAAGAAAAAAATTAGTTAATAAAATATTAGTTATTAATTAACATAAATATGGCACTATTCAAGTAATAAAAGAAAAAAATTAGTAAATAAGTTACAAATTAGTATATTCACTTTTTTTACAGTAAATAAAAATTTAAATTCTTAAACCTTCTATTTCTATTTAATAATTCATAATATGATAAAGATTCTATTTATTTATCATTTATACTTTTGCTTCTATTTTTACTATTTCTGAATCTTAGTAATAAATAAGATAAATGAATAGTAAAAGTAGCAGGAGAAATAGTAGTTCTTTGAAAAAAAACAATAATGGTCAGCTGAGTCAAAATAGTAGATGATTAGGTCAAAATAGTAAATAATACAGTCAAAATAATAGATAATTAAGTTAAAAGAATAGTTAATAAATAGATTAAAATAGTTGATAGTCTGGTCAAAATAATAGATAGTTTAGTCAAAGTAATAGTGAATAGTTAGGTTGAAGTAGTTGATAGTCTGATCAAAATAGTAAATAGTCTGGTTGAAAAAGTAGTAGATAGTTAAATTAAAGTAGTTGATAGTCTGGTTAAAAGAGTAGCAGATTGTTGGGTCAAAAGAGTATTGAATAGTTGGATCAAAGAATAAGTAGATAATTAAATTAAAAAAATAATAAATAGTTGAATCAAAAAGTAGTAGATTGTTGAGTTGCAAATCAAGAAGATTGGAATGTTTATTAAGTATATCTTGTTCTAGTCTAATAAAAAAAACAAAAATTTTTTCAAATAAAATCTAAAATTAATTTTAAAAAAATTTGAAGAAATAAAGTTCTTTAAAAAAACAATTCAAATTAAATATATTTATAAATATTTTTAAATTCTGATTACTTAAATAATTAATTAAAAAATAATATACATTGTTTTTAAATTTATATTTAGGAATCAAAATATAATGTGTATTATATTATAATTGATATATTTGCTATATATTAATTCACAATTCATAATTCATAATTCATATATTATTTTAAAAATTATACTAATTAGAATGACATATTAAATTTATTTATACTAATATCAATATTTTTTTTAGGAAAATTTTTATTGATATTAATTTATATTATTTCTAAATTAATATATCTTTAAAACTACATATAATATTATAGTTAATTATAATAGCTAATTATATAAAAAATAATTTGTTATATTTAAACTATAATATGAAATCAAAATAATATATAACACTATTACTATTGATCAGTAATTTTTTTGCTAAGTAATAATTTACTTTATTTTATATTTGATATTTATTTATTCAATCTAATTATTATTATAGTATTTAAAATATTATTTAAAAACTAATATAGGTTAATTAATTATTTTATATTATTTGACCAATATTTAACTATTTTTATATTAATTATTTATATATAATTCATCTAAATATCATTTTGATATTTAAAACTTTATTTGGAAACAATATAGAGTTAATAGTTTTATGCTCTTCAATTAATATCTGTTATTATACCAATTATCTGTCTAAATATAAATTATTATTATTATTTTTTTTTTGATATTAAGGTGACCTTTTTGGTACAAGCTTTTTATTAATACTTATAGCAGGTACATGTTTATATAGATGTATCTATAATGAACTATTAGACGGGTATACAGCTGGCTATACGTGTAACTTTACTATATTACCTATTTAAGGAGTCTGCCCGAGGGTTCTCCACCAGTTGCCGTACTTAACACTCCTGCTTAGGTGTTTCATTTAAATCTTCTGATCTAATCCTAGTATTAATTTCACCAGGTCACAGACCCAAATCTATTTACTATTAACCATAGGACTATAATCCTTAGACTATTTTTATCCTTGAGACAAACCTACTAGAGTGAGTCATATTCCCTTTTACTACTAACCTGGTTTGATGCTATAGCCAAGACCAACACTTGCAGTCAGGGTTACTCCTTAAACCGCTATTACCCTTGTAAAGTTCATCCAAACTCTGATATCCATCTTTCTGACTTTTTCTTCATCATCCTCTACTAGCCACAACTTGAAACTAACCGATTTACCAGACTCCCAATTCAGATGGCTCAGTATGGTATACCTATGTATCCTTTTCTTCTGGCAATTTCAGTGGCCTGGTTGGTCATATGCTTCTCTACATATCTTTGTTATCTTTTTACCTAATTAGTTCCTATAAAGGTGTTTCATGAGCTTACATCAGTTCAATGACATTATCAAAAGTTTGTGCTATTTTTTTACTCAGGATTTTCAAGTAAGTTTCTGTTTCTTCAGTTTCTTAGCCTTTTACATCTGATGGTCTTATCGTGGGTTTGCCCGAAGCCTTATACGACACTAGTTTTACATTCCTCTATGTATATGTACTGTGTAATATTACACTTCGCATAGATGCCTGAGCTCCCAATATCAGGTGGAACCTGATTTGGTGTAACTAAGATTACAGATGCCCAAACCCCAGCTGATTGACAAGAGACAGTTACCATAATACAGATATAATTTCCAAAATTTATTGTCCATAGGAATTGAACCTTAGACCTGCCACTTGAGGGTTGACAACCTATCCACTTCACTAGGTCGCCACACCCTTGTCTAAATATAAATCATATAAATAATTATTATTTAGTATTATTTATATTTAAATAATGCTATTTGATATATTGAATTTTCAATACTTAAATCACTATAATCAAATTTTTTAATTTTAAGTTATATAATAGTTATCAAATTGTGACATTTAATAAATCAAATTTTTTAATTTTAAGTTATTATTATTATTGTTATTGAATTATAACTAAAATTTTTAATTTTAAGTTATATGATAATTGTTAAATTATGCATTAAAATATGTCAAATTTTTTAACAATCTGTATTAGTTGTCAAATTGTAGTATTAATAATAATTATTAAATTTAACTGTTAAATTTTAACAAATTTAGTTCAAAATTTGACATAAATTTGACTATTGAATTTTAATATAATAAAATTAGATACTAAAATTCAAATTACATTAATTTGATTTATAAAATTAGATTGATCAAATTATCAAAATTTTGTTTATATCAGAAAATTAAGAACTCATTCTATAATAATAATTATATGATAATTATGAAAGATCTTTATAATTAGATTAATAGTTTAAATTCATTGTAAATATTTAAAGAAAAGAGAATAATAAATATTAGAGTATTAGTAAAATAAGATAACTATCTATTGAAGAAATAATTATTATAAATTATTCATAATGCATAATTATATAATAATTGTATAGGTTCTTTATAATTGAATTATTAGATTTGAAGCTGCTGCAATATATCTAAAGAAAAGAATTAATTACTAATTAGAAATTGATCTATTAAAAATTGGCTTATTAATATTAATACAGGCCAAATAATATTTAATATAGGCTGAATAATATTTAATACAGGCCAGATTATATGCTAATGCAGACCAAATAATCTCATTAAAAATCCTACATGTAACCAACTAGAATAAAATTATCATTTAAAAAAGTTTTAAAAATCATGTAATATTGTTAATTTCAGATCAACTTACAGCTGTTTTTATAAATTCTAAAAAATTCAGTAAAAATTAATTAACCAAATATTTGCCAATTTGTTAAGTTTATCAGAACTTATAGAGTCAGCAAATATTTGGTTAGTTAATTTTTCTAAATTTTTTAGAATTTATGAAAACAGCTGTAACATCTCTAGATTTTACCCAACCTATCAATATATAATCTAAAAATTCAATGAAAATCAAGATCAGAAATGAGCTCACTACCTATTACGACTAACGTTTTAAAATGTTCTATTACATTATTAAGCGATGCATTCTAAATGTTTCAACTCATTATTGAGACATAAAATTAATAAAAAATATAATAATTTAAATATATAATAATGTTTGTAATTTAAATATAAAATAAATTTAATCAATAATATTGCTATATTTATAATATAACTTCTTAGAATATATCAAGTGGCTTGTTTCATTGTCAAAATATTAGTATAGATTTTTAAATGAAAATTTTACGTATAACTGAAAACTAGTCTGAAAAAAAAGAATATCAAAAATGAAACAAAACTAAGTCTAAAATAGCATTCATAACGAAGATAGCAATATTACCGTTATGGCTATTTTTTGTGTAGATTTATCTTTAGCAGTATGGTATCCGGATTCACCCATCGCCATGTTATATAGAGTATAAAAATAGTGTCACACCATAATTTAGCTAGAATAATTGGAAAAAATTTCGAAAGGATTTTAACAAGGCATATATGGAAAATTATAATTATTTCTCGGAAATTCTGTTTGAATAGCATAATAAGGCGGAGGTGATCCAACTTGTGATGTCGTAGATTCTAATTCTTTTTCCAGATCAATTATTTCATTTTGCACAGATATTATTTGATCAAGTATTTTATGACCTTCTGTATCTGATCCTAATGCATTTCTTAACTTGGCCAAGTTTTTGCTATAATAACCCTCAACATCTGTTCCTTCTACGAACATTTTATGGCTCTTAAAAAGATATTTAGTTACAGTTCTTGCTAAATACTCTTTAAATTTCAGAGACAAATCAAAGTGTAATTTTTTTAGTCTGCTCCTTTTTATAGATAACTCTTGTTCAATTCTTTTGTTGGTATTTCTTTCTTGTTTAACGTTGGTATTTCTTTCTTGTTTATTGTTGGTATTTCTTTCTTGTTTACCGTTGGTATTTCTTTCTTGATTACCGTTGGCATTTTGTTCTTGTTTAACTTTTTGTGAACTATTTTGTTTCGGTTCTGATCTTAACCTTTTCACTAATTTACGAGTCCTATAATCGTGCATAAGATCAGTCTTTGATTGTTTAATATCAAGGTTTGGACAATTATTTATATTTATTACGTTTAAACCAGAATTATTGGAACAGTTAATTCTTTTAAGATTAATGCAACCATTTATATTTAAGCTAGTAAGTTCATTATCATGACAGTCTAATTCTTCTAAATATCTACATGTACTAACATCCAAACTAGTCAATTGATGAGAGTAGATTTTAAAAACTCGCAAATTAGTAAATCCTTCTAATTTTAAGTTACCATATAATTTTTTGAGTTTGCTATTACCAAATATGGTTTCGCCACCCCCAGCTTTTCCTTTGCTAATATCTAATTTGGTTATTTCTTCACGTCTTTTGCCCTTGTTTTCTGAATCTGCGCTTCTATTACATGCTCCATTTATTGGGTATTTTTTATTAATATAATCTTGTGCGTTATGATTTTCCATGCTACTTGAATTATTGTTTTTAGTTACTAATCACTACTCCGGCAATTAAGTCCTTTTATAATAAGTTAGGTTGCAATTGAAATTTATGTTATTATTATTTATTCGAATTTGTTAATTCACTATTTTTTGGCCATCAGTTTCTCTCCAGAAATAAGATTAATAGTAAAGCAGACCAACAGCTAATTTTCCTTTCTTTTCCGCTAATTCAACCTTTTGTTATGGGGTGAGATTGGAATTAAATTATAAGGAAGTAATTTGAGTGCGTAATTGGAATCGTTGGTTCGAATGAAGTTTGATCAAGTAAAATCACAATAAATTTATACTTAATAAAGTTTGTCTCCTTACTATTTTATTTGTTTCACCAAACTTCGCCTTACCCACATTCTCATAACAATTTTCACTTGTTTCATAAACATCTTCTGCATCAAATAAAATTTCAAACAAAAACAAAGGACACTCATTTTTATAACCTAAGCAAAATTTATTATTTAGCCAAAAAAAAAGTTGCCGGTTTAATTTCTAGGTATATTAAGTTCGTAAATTCTCTAGTATTATAAAGCATCTTATCATAAAGTATCAGGGTGGTTAAAAATCAAACCCTAAAGAATCATTACCACGAAGTTTGCAATTTTTTTTTTACAATTTTTACTATTTGAGTGTGTCCAAATGAAAAAGTACATTTCAACGTAAAAGTAATAAGTTTTACAAATAAAACTTGCATAATTTTGTTGTCATGGGAAAATTGCTCCAATTGAATAGTAAGTTTCACAAATAAAGCTTGCATAATCTCGTTATCATTGGAAAATCATACAAATTGAATTGTAAGCTTGCTTGCATAATTTCACCAATTAAATAGTTAAATAGCAAGTTTCATAAATAAGGTTACTGTATTTAAAATTGGTCTTGATATCATAAGTTTAAAAGTCTGAAATTTAGAAAATCAATAATCAAGCAAATTTCGGTGTGGAAAAATTACACCAATTGAATAGTAAGTTATGCATAATCTCGAAGTCATGAGAAAATCAAACCAATTAATAGTTTTGGCTATTTTAAAATTAATATAAATAATCTATGGGTTATTTATATCTATGAATGTTTATCGGTTTATAATAATCTATGAGTTATTCATATTATCTGTTCAATGTTTGGGTTCGCATCACTAGTTTAGAGTTTAGATATGTGATCTATTATCTGTTTTAGAATTAGTCACCGAAACCTTTTTGGCAAAATCCGAAAGTTTCGGGTTTTGGATTGTAGTTTACGAAACCTCATCCAAAACCTTATCTGAAACCCGAAACCTTACCCGAAATCCCGAACCCTATTGGTATAATAAATTTCTATAAAATCAATAACAATAAATTAGAGATATAATTTAAACTATTTTTTTATATAATGTCGTTCGGAAATCAGCGAGTCTGTCGCTAATCCAATCCAATTCTCACGTAACCTGCGGCGGCTAAGTCGAAGTAGGCGTGTTAGATTTGGCTGGTGTTCTATCCGTAGGTAAGTACTTGTCTTCTCTTTGTGTCTTTCCTTCAGCCTATTCTTCTATTAACCCTTGCATTCTCTTGCCTTCTCTTTGTCTACCTCAACCCGGGATTACTCTTCGTCGAATCGGGGTTGGAACTCTTCTATTACGTTAACGGTTTGGGGTCTCGTGACTTACGGCGAGCGATCGATTTGCGGTTTTAGTGATTTACAGACGAACGATTATGTTAGGTATGGGATTAAAGATAGTTTATTAGTTTGTATAGAGTAGTACTTTCACTTTTATTAGGGGTCGGGTATTTAGTTGTATGCAATTATATTTTTATTCGATTCTAAAGGAATGCCCTTTATTTATAATAAACGTTTTATTTACATTGGTAATTAATTTTTAATATAAATGTTATATCCTTCATATCTTAATTATATTTAATAAAAGGTCGATATCTCATTTATCACATAAGTAACAGAAATAGCATAATTAATGGAAGTAAGAGAAGTAATAGAAGTAATATTTCTATTACTTTTCACATGACTTTGAATCAGGTAGGGATCGTTGCTTTGATTTGGGCTTTCATGATTTCCAAAAATCAGGCTCACAATATACAAATCAGGGTTAAACCAGTTTGATTACTAAATTGTAAATGCTATAATGATTTTGATCTGAATTTAATAATTTATATATAAGTAGCTGCGCAACGTTGTCGCGCAAAACCAGGAACGGGAGAAATCTACGCAGACACCATTTCAGTTACGGGAAACCATATTCTTCATTGCAATCCATTCCT